CTCTATTTCCTATCCTTTAAATTTCCCAAAACTAATGAATTAACTTGAATATATGATGAAAAAAAAGGTTTCATATTTTAAAAAAATGCTATTTGAGTAGATGACATTATTTTTCAATTTGATTCAAATGAGGTGAGCTTGGTGGCAAAACTATATTTCTAACTGGAGTCAAAAGCTTCCTAACTTTTTTGCTATTATGAAATTGGTAAATTGTCCAAAATTAATGGAAAATGTTTTTCTTCATAATGTTATTTTAGTTTCTAAATCAGAGATGGTATAGTTAATACAAAATAATTATGAGTGAATTTGGAGAAAACCAATCTTTAAAAAAATAAGTTTGATATTGCTTATTATTAAAGTTTTGGTTAATCAATATATAAATCAAGATTAGGTAGTAATATATCTAATATACTTCAAACAATCTTTCATAATATAGAACCAAAATAATTATTTGAAAAACAGAGTGCAAAATAATTATGAAAGATAATAGATCTTTAAAATACCATCAGGTACTTAAATAGTATAATAAAACATTATGGCTCCAATCAATTATTATGCTATTAGAATTAATGAATGTTAAATTAAATTAACAAACCAGAATAACTCCATCTGAGTCCCATTTAAGAGACAATCTTTAAAAAAAATCAGACTTAAAATCTTAATATTGAACAAAAATAAATTTTCAATAATATTCATCTTAGGTCCTAATTTACAAAGAATCTATTAATACATTAATTGATAAAAGGGAGTTATTAAATTTCGGCTATCCAATATAAAGGTCCTACGTGTAAAAATCTAAATGTTTAAGACAAATTTTAGGTCTTTCAATAATCTCATTTTAATAATTACTTCATGACCATAATTTCTAATTAAACCTTTTTTAACTAAAATTTTTTAGTTTTTTTTAACCCAAATTGAAATTAAATTCCTATCAAATAAAATTTTTTTACCTTTTAATTCGATGAGATCATAATTGGGGTCGACCAAGAAGTTTTCTTCTTCGATCCTTGGAGATTCTGTATGCGTTCTGCAGCCTCCAAAGAAGAGTGTTGACCATGATGATCAAGGAAATCGTTTTAAAAAGAAGAGGGTTCGTTTTAAAGACTCATAGCAAGAACACACCTCTAGAGACCCGGTAGAGGCAAGCCCCTCAGAGGAAGAAGTGCAATTCCTACCATTCCACTGTGAATACAAATTTATTAGCAGATAGTTAATAAGAAAGCTACAAATTCTTAAATAATCACCGTATGTCACTTTATAGGAATTATGAATTGACATTAATTAGATACAATTTAATAAAAATGAAAAAATGAAGAGGTGAAAAAATATCAACCAAAAAAACTAAGAAATCCATCTAAATTATGTATTTTTCATGATCTATCAGTTTGGCTGTCAAATGATACTTCCTTTTGATTTGAATAATTATCTTAAATCAAAGTCTTAATAATTAATAAACTCTCCATTATGGACATGAGCTCTTTAAGCTTAAAATATTGGTGCTTACGATATATGGAGAATGGTAATAATTGTAGCTACTCATATTTAAGTAATAATAATTACCTGTATTAGGATTGATATCCCAAAGACGAATCGACTTATCTTCACTACCAGATGCTAATATATTTCCATCAGGGGAGAAACAGACTTATATTACATAACTTGTATGTCCATTTAATTTTTCTTTTTATTATCTTGTTTTGACATCCCATAAACAGATAGACTAATCGTTACTACCAGATGCTAACATATTTCCATCAGGAGAAAAGCAAACTGATCTAACTTAATCAGTATGGCCATCTAATTTGGCTATTTATTATCGATTATTGATATCCCAAAGACGGATAAACGTATCTTCACTACCAGATGCTAATATATTTCCATCAGGGGAGAAACAGACTGATATAACCTATACATGATCACCATTTAAATTTGCTTTTTATTATCTTGTTTTGACATCCCATAGACAGATAGACTAATCGTTACTACCAGATGCTAACATATTTCCATCAGGAGAAAAGCAAACTGATCTAACTTAATCAGTATGGCCATCTAATTTGGCTATTTATTATCGATTATTGATATCCCAAAGACGGATAAACGTATCTTCACTACCAGATGCTAATATATTTCCATCAGGGGAGAAACTGACTGATATAAACTATACACGATCACCATTTAATTCTTTTTATTATCCTGTTTTGACATCCCATAGACGGATAAACTAATCCTTACTACTAGATGCTAACATATTTCCATCAGGAGAAAAGCAAACTGATCTAACTTAATCAGTATGATCATCCAATTTGGCTTTTAATTATCCTGTTTTGATATCCCATAGGCAGATAGACTTATCACTACTACCAGAAGCTAATGTATTTCCATCAGGAGAGAAACATACTGATAATATTCCATTAGTATGGCCATCTGATTTGGCTGTTTATTATCCTGCATTGACATCCCATAGATGGATTGATTTGTCTCCACTACCAGAAGCTAATGTATTTCCATCAGGAGAGAAACAAACTGACAAGATTGCACTAGTATGACCATCTATTTTTGCTTTTTATTATCTTGTTTTAAAATCCCATAGGCGAATTGAGTTATCACCTTATTAATAAAAATCATCATCTCCACTTGCAGATGCTAATGTAGTTCCATCAGGAGAGAAACAAACTGAGTATACAGTGTTAGTATGACCATCCAATTATGCTAATTATTATCCTGTTTTGACATCCCAAAGTAGGATCTTATTATCTACTTTTTTAGTTATAATGTCATTTTTTCTTGTAGATACTAATGTATTTCCATCAGGAGAGAAACAAATTGACAAGATTGCACTATGCCCATCCAATTTTCTTTTATTTAATCCTGTTTTGACTTCCCATAGAAGGATAGAGTTATCTTAACTACCAGAAGCTAATATATTTCCATCCGGAGAAAAGCAAACTGATATAACATAATCGGTATGACCATCCAATTTTCTTTTATTTAATCCTGTTTTGACTTCCCATAGAAGGATAGAGTTATCTTAACTACCAGAAGCTAATGTATTTCCATCAGGAGAAAAGCAAACTGATCTAACTTAATCAGTATGATCATCCAATTTGGCTTTTTATTATCCTGTTTTGATATCCCATAGGCAGATAGACTTATCACTACTACCAGAAGCTAATGTATTTCCATCAGGAGAGAAACAAATTGACAAGATTGCACTACGACCATTCAATTTTCTTGTATTTTATCCTGTTTTGACTTCCCATAGAAGTATAAAGTTATCTTAACTACCAGAAGCTAACGTTTTTCCGTCAGGAGAGAAACTCACTGATGAAACAGGTTAAGAATGGCCATCTAATTTATATAAATCATTTATTTTTAATTTTTTCCAATTACAATCAAACAATATAGCTCCATTTAAATTAATTCCATTGATATTCACATTATCAAATTTAGATTGAGATAAATTGCATTTTGAAAAATTACCACCATATAATGAAGTATTTTTAATTGTTATATTTTAAAAATTTTAGTTTGTTAGATCAGTCTTCATTTCAACTAAAATATTTAGTGCATTAGAACCACTATTAATAATGTTTTCATCTATTTTCGTGAGATGAACTAAGAATTTCAAAAATTCTATTATCCTCACCTCTTGTGATATTTTTTAAATTAGATATTATCTCGTTTCAGCATAGATTTCAGTGGAATAATCATTTTTATTAAAATCATGTTCTTAGACAATTTTGATTAGATCAGCAATTGACTTAATTTTTTTTTCTATTTATTTTTGTCTATCAAACATTAATATGTTCTCAAATTGAGTATGATTTTCGCAATATTCTTTAGCGGTTGTTTATAAAAATTTTGAAGAATCCTAGACTTAATTATTTTCTTTTGATAACAATTCTAATATAGTTTTCATTATCTGTATATCAACATCTTTTGATTAAACTAACAATTCATATAAAGTGGCTGCAATTAAGAACTCTTATATAGATTTATGGACAAATTAAAAGTTAGCACCATTTGATTAAACTAGAGAACAACTTCGTATATCTTTTCTATAAGATCCAAATTAATCATCATCATTAAAAAAATCATTGAGCCATTTTTCATTTTCTTTTTCTTCTTTATACAAAAATCCTTATTGTTAATATTATACTTAAGTAATTTGATATATGCTCATTTTTTTCGCAAGGTTAGTTGAATATTTTTTTAAATCATGTAGAAAACGATCAATATTAATAGATTTTCCTAATTTTCTCTACTTTTCTATTTATTTCTAATGATGTTAATTAATAAACTCATCATAAAAATCATAACTTGTAAGATTTAATTCTTTTAATGCATCAATAACTACTTCGATAACAGCTTCGCTTTTTTTTTTGTTTTGAATTGCAACTTTATCTAATAAATGATCATATTACTAACAGATTTGTTCTAATATTTTCTAGAGTTAGGTCTATAATTCAGGATTTTCTTAAGAAATCTAGGTTTGGATACTAGTTGAATTTTCTTCAATTTTATCCCAAAATTTGTTAGCAACATCTTGAAAGTTTAGTTTTTCTAAATTTTCTATATCAATCGATGTAACTTTCTAAGAGTTTTCCTCTCTATTGTTTTAAGACACAAGCTTTTCCTATTGTTATTGTTATTGATACATTTCAATCAAATATTTACTTTTGTACAACGCTTTGAGTTTTTTTGAAAAATTATTTATAAAATTTTATTTCAAATTATTTATTTCAGTTGCTTTAACAATCAAATCAGGCAACACTTAAACTACAATTTCCATCATATATGGAGTTACCACCAATTTATTTAAATTTATTTAACTCATCATTTTGTTGTACTTTTCAACGCTCCACAGTTTTTGTAAATTTATGCTCAGACTTCTTAAAGCATCTTGACTTTTTAAAGATATAAACTAATCATTCTTCAAAAACGATTTAATAAGATCTATTTATTTTTAATTCAATAGATTATCCCTTTTCATCCCTAGTATATCTTTTTTTAACAAATTGTTCAATTTTTCCCAACAATTTTCAAATTTTTTGATATCTATTGCTCCTCTATTAGAAATTTGTGTTTACCATTCATAAATTTCAAAAATCAACATTTTAACACTTTAAATTGTAAATTTTTCTAGATATTAAAGCATTTATGGAGAATCAAATTTCAGAAGTTTGATTTCTTTTAATTTTTGCTTCTCTTCAGGCTCAAACCATAGAGAATAATTGCTACTTGTAAAAATTTCACTTCTTGTAGTAAAAATAACAAAGGGGTTTGACCAATTCTATTTAAGTTTATTATTAATATATAGGTTTTTCTAAATATTTTCTAATTTCATTTCATCGTAACTGTCCATTATGAATAGAAATCGGAATTCTTTTTTTTCTAACATCTCTTTACATTCTTTCAATTAGAGTTCATCAAAACCATACTCATCTTGATGAAGTGCTTCCTCTACTGCTTAAAAAACAGGATTTTTTAAAGAGGGTAATGAAATGTAAATTGGTATTAGCTTTTGATTCTTGATTCTTTAATTATTTTCATATAATTTCCAAATAAATTCTTCTATTTTCTTAGCTGCAGTACTTTTGCCCGATCCAGCTAAGCCATGAATTAATAATACTGTTTCTTTATCATCTAATAAAAACTCATTCACTTCCCCTTCTTTATCAGAGAAATTTTCAAAATTCATCAAAATAGTCTTTTATTCATTCTTTTCCACTTTATCTAATTAATGAAATATCTCCAATGTTTATAATGGCACATATATAGACCTAACATTTTTATTTGCTGCTTCTTTCAATACTTTGGATTTTCTAATATCAAAAAGTTCTTCAACAGATTTTCCTCTCAGAAATTTTATGTCATTACCCAAGCTGTTTAGCTATTTCTTCATCTCATTTATTTTTCCCTCAACTCTTATCAAACCTTTTCTGAAATGATTAACGAAATCGGTTATTAATCTAAGTTATTACCCCATTTCACAGATGTTTTTAATATATTCATCTAATTTCTCAGTTGTTTCATCTATTTCTTTCAATTATTGCTCTCTTTTGTTCACATTTGCCTCTTGGGTAATTTATTCTTACAAAGAATCGATTTTACTCAGCATTTATTACATTTCTCCTGCAATTCTATCGTTTTGAGTCTACCAACCTTTCTTCAAAAT